CGGCCGCTGTCACCGGGTGTCGCCATGGTGCCGGTGCTGGGGCTGATGCCGCTGCTGCTGTGGGTCGGGGTGGTTTGTCTCTGTTTCAGGCAGCTGCACCAGACGAGCTCGCTGGCAGTGGGGGTGATGGAGGAATCCTACCGGGAGAGCCTGGAGTGCACCGACGAGGACATCACCGACAAGGTAGGGCCTCCTCCCCGCGCTGGTGCCCTGAGCTTTGCTGAAATGTTGAGAGGAAGAGGTTCTAGGGTGAGGTCTGTGGGACCCTGCAGTGCTCCCAGGCAGGATCAGGGTGAAGCTCCTCCCTTCAGATGAGCCCTCCCCATGGAGGGGATGGAGGAGCAGAGCAGCTCTGCAGGGTCAGGAGGTGACACTGCATCTTCTCCAGGGGCCGTGGCTTCCCCCAGAGTGCTGGGAGGAGGAATGGGCCGTTCACAGGCAGCATTTTCACTTCTCCTTCACACAAGAAGATGTTCTGCTTTTCTGAGGCAACCCACCCAATGTGAAAGAGAAACTTCCTCTCCTTGGCACACTCTGCTCGTGCTGTCACACTCTGCTCGTGCTGTCAGGGTAGGGTTGGTTTTGTGCTGATGCTGATGGGTTTTCCTGGGGTATTACAAGAAAAGAGTTGTAGGATAAGATGGGAGCACAAGAAAGATTTTGAGTATTCCTAGTTAAAAAACAGGGAAAAGAAGCTAAGATTGTGTAGATGTCTACTGAAGTCCTGAAACTCCTTGGAAATGGCCTTAGCTCTGGAATATGAATGTCCTGAGGAGCTTGGAGTAGAAGAAAAATGTGAATGTGTGTAGCTACACTCAGAAAGAATTATAATGCAGGGAAAACCTTTAAAAAAGAAATAAAAAACAACATTTTTCCAAGGGGAAGTTGAATAAAATAGTTGGGTTCCTTAAGGCATTTGACTTGGGAAACCTTTGATGGAAAAGGCACTGCTGGGAAAGGCCTTGTGTGTCTGCATGGCCCCTTTAACACTCCCATGTCTCCTGCCCTTCTCCCAGAGCCAGGGTTTGGCTTTTCCAGGCATGCTCCTCATTTCTTCTCCCCCAGGATTGTATTATATGGAATTTGAATGAATTAAATGCAAATACAGCTGGAATAAACCCTGTGGAGGTACAGGGAGAAAATCCACAACTCTTTTCCTTCCCCACCAGCTGTCATTGATCCCTCCATCTGTAAATTCAGGGTTTCCATCCTGTTCCAGGCAGTGGGGAGTTATCCAGCCTCAGGGCTGCACATGCAGCTCTGGGGATCCACCAGGATCTTTCCCTCTGGATTCCTTTTAAGATGCCATCAGGAAGGGGTTGAAGAAAGGAAAGAGTGAAGTGTTTGACCCCAGACTGGTTCACAGGAACCATCAGAACCTGGGAAAACAGATGGAAAAGGATGTTTTAAAGGGATGCTGATACACAAGGCACAACTGCCCAGTTCCAGTGGGAGCCCTGCTTGTTTGGGGATGCTGTGGGGGGCTGCTCTGGGTTTGGGGCTCCCCAGAGGCTGATCCCTGGCCCTGCTGCAGGTGGTGTTCCTGGAGAAGCGGGTGACGGAGCTGGAGAAGGACACGGCTGCCAACGGGGAGCAGCACAGCCGCCTCCGGCAGGAGAACCTGCAGCTGGTGCACAGGTGAGAGCCTCCCCTGGGGCCTCTCCCCTCCTCCTGCCTCAGCTCCCTTCCCAAATCCCACCCACAGCCCTTCCCAGGGAGATTGACTCCCTCCCAGCTGGGAACAGGACACAGCAACGTGGAGGTTTTATATTGTATGGGCTTAAGTTCTCTGGAGCTCCAGGACTTGGCTTTTGGTGGTTTTTACATGTGGCTTTTAATTGCTGGAGCTGTATCAGGGAGGGTCAGGGTGGAGATCAGGAAAGGTTCTTCCCCCAGAGGGTGCTGGCACTGCCCAGGCTCCCCAGGGAATGGGCACAGCCCTGAGGCTGCCAGAGCTCCAGGAGTGTTGGGACAATGCTCTCAGGGTGGGATTGTTGGGGGTCTGTGCAGGGCTGGGAGTTGGAATCCATGATCCTTGTGGCTCCCTTCCCACCCAGGGTGGGGTTTTGTTGTTATTGTTGTTTGTCTTTTGATTTGTTTTTTTTTTAATGTGCTTCCCTGCTCCATGTGTCCCTCCCAAAAAGTCTCTGGAACCCTGGGTCTTGATTTTTTAAAAAACATTTATAGTTATAGTTATGTCATTGTTATACTTATATCATGGTTATATTTATATCATGGTTATACTTATATCATGGCTATATGTATATCATATCATATTTATGTTTAATATATTTTCCTGCCCCAAATGGTCCCTGGAGCTCCAAAGCTTGCCTCCTGCTGGATCCAGGCCAGGGTGCAGCCCTTTGGATCCCACATGATGTAATCCCTGTGTGTGCTAATCTGCCAGGCTCCTCTCTCCCAGCATAGCTCTACCCTGGGCAGATAAAGCCAGCAGAGTTTATCTATAGGGCTGTAATTCTGTTAAGTAACAGTCCTGTCAGGGAACTGAGCCACTCAAACAAAGGTTTCCCTAAGCCCTGATAAACTTGAGAGTGAGGGAAATGTTTTCACTTCAGCAGCTTGGCCTGGAAGTGTCAGCTGGCTCTGGGTGAGCTGGGTGCTGGGGAGGGTGGGATCAGCTGGGAAAAGCCTTCTCCTGGAATAAACCTTCTCCTGGGCAAAGCCACTGCAGAAATTCCAGCTCCAGCCCCATCCCTGCTCATGGCCAGGTTGGACAGGGCCTGGAGCCAGGCTGGCAGAGCTGGGGGTGCTCACCTGGAGAGGAGAAGCTCCAGGGACACCTCAGAGCCCCTGCCAGGGCCTGAAGGGGCTCCAGGAGAGCTGCAGAGGGACTGGGGACAAGGGATGGAGGGACAGGACACAGGGAATGGCTTCCCACTGCCAGAGGGCAGGGATGGATGGGATATTGGGAATTGGGAATTGTTCCCTGGGAGGGTGGGCAGGCCCTGGCACAGGGTGCCCACCCTGGATCCCTGGCAGTGCCCAAGGCCAGGCTGGGCAGGGCTGGGAGCAGCCTGGGACAGTGGGAGGTGTCCCTGCCATGGCAGGAGTGGCACTGGGTGGGCTTTAAGGTCCCTCCTGGCCCAAACCCTTCTGGGATTCTGTGATCTGCAGTTCTGCTGACACACAGGCAAGGGTGACCTGCAGATCCCCTGGTTTTTGTTGGCATCACAAGAGAGTGAAAACAAGAGGGATTGAGGCTGAGCAATGAGACCACTTCCTGCTGGAAACAGCTGAAGGAGGATTTCTCTGCCATGGCTACTGCAGGTGCAACCACAAACCCTGGGATTTGTGTTTGGCTTAGAAGCTCTTAAAGGTCTTTTGCAACCTCAGTGACTCTGAGATTCCCATAAAGAGATGTGTATGTGTGTGGCTGCACTTGGAAATAATTCTAATGCATAGAAGACATTTAAAAATAATTAAAAATAGACTTCTTTCCCAGGCTGGAAATTGAATAGCATGCTTGTGTTCCTTAAGACACATGACCTGGTGGTGGCTGTGATGGAAGAGGTGCTGCTTCTCCTGCTGCATCTGCTGGGATGCAGTGGAGCTGTTTGAGATGGTCATTGCTGTGTTTTCCCTGGAAGCTTGCTCTGTTTTACCATCTGCTGCTCCCAGTTCACCTGAGGGTGGGAGAGGGGCTGGGAGGGGAGTCTGGGCCCTGCCTTGGGATGGCAGCTGCTCCTCAGGGCAGTTTGATCCCCTCTTTGTCCTCTCTGCAGAGCAAATGCACTCGAGGAGCAGCTGAAGGAGCAGGAGCTGAGGGCTGACCAGACCCTGCTGGAGGAGATCAAGAAGCAGAGGGAGCTGCTCAGCAAAATGGAGAGGGAGAAGAGCATAGAGATCGAGAACCTGCAGGCCAGGTGGGGCTGGGGGGCAGCTCTCCTGCGGCCACCCCAGGATCTGTGCCCTGGGGGCACACAGGGAGGCAGGCAGAGAGTTTGATTGCTTCAAAGAGTGACTAAAATCACCACAAACCTGAGTTCTGGTTATTTCCACCTTTGGCCCACAGACCTAATCTTGGGTTCTTTATTTGAGCTGCTCTGATGCATTTTAACTCCCACCCTTTATCCACATGCCTGTCCTGCAGTGAGGGGATGAAGAGGGGATTTGTTAATGATTTGTTAATGCTGCTTCCCGTAAATCACCCCTTGGGGTACTTTTGATGCCCAGATGTTTTGCACCTTGATGGAAACAGGCAAACAGCTGGGAAAGAGGCAGAGTGTCCCAGGCAGGGTGCTCTGTGCTGCCTGGTGCATTCCAAAGGCAGAAGTGGGGTGGGAGGGGTGTCAGGTATTTAACAGGGTTTTCCATCTTCCCCAGAGTGTTTTGCTGTTGTTCATCCCTTGCAGTCCATGGGAGGTGAAGACAGTGGGGCTTTCCCTGGGAATGCAAACCCAAAGCCCTCTCTGACCCATTCTGTTGTCTCTGCTGCTGAGGCTTGTGCAGGGACAGAAAAACCCTTGGAACAAAGAATAGCCCTGGAGCTGGTGGAGTCAGGGTTCTGTAGATGCCCCTCTCTTCCCCCTGGCAGCAGAAACATCTCAGGGTTTGCCTTGAACAGATGAATCCCTGCTGCCTTCCCTTTGCTTTCATACTCCTGGGGAGGTTTTCTCCCTGTGTGGGATGCTGGGATGAGTCTCACACACGTTCCCTCTGCAGGCTGCAGCAGCTGGATGATGAGAACAGCGAGCTGAGGTCCTGTGTCCCCTGCCTGAGAGCCAACATCGAGAGGCTTGAGGAGGTGAGGCCACAGGGTGCCTGGTTTGGGGATGAAATGCTGGTTTTGAGGTGAAATTCTGGTTTTGGGGTGAAATTCTGGCTTTGGGATGAATTTTCATGAACACAAGTTCCATTTAATGTAACAAACCATTTCCTTCCATTTTCCAGTCCCCACGTTGGACAGCACTGTCCCACACAGTTATCCTTGCAGTCTCCCTCTGTTCAGCCTGGAAGCTGGGAATAAACCCCTGATAAATGCCTGTGGCAGTGCCTGCTCAGGAGGGGACTCGTGCCCTCTTGTGGAAGCTTGTCCCCATCCCTGTCCCCATCCCTGTGGCCAGTCCAGTGCAGGGCAGGAGGAGGAGCAGGGATGCTCCATCTCTGTGTCCTGGGATTTGTCAGTTGAGTTTCCAAAGATCTGTGTCACCTCCCAGCCCCTCTCATGTCCCCCTGCTCAGGATCCAAGGCCCTGCAGGGCTGGGGCTTCCCAAGGCTCCTTGGGCTGGGCAGGAGCCTCAGCTTCAGGGATGGGGTGGGTTACAGGTGGGACACCTGGAGCAGGGGCTGCATTTTGTCTCTGCCAAGCTTGGGGCAGAATTAAAGTTGAAACTGAACTGAGATCAAACCTCCTCTCCCAGCTGAAGGGCCTTTTATCCATGTTTAATCCCACGGGAGAGCTCTGCAGCTCCATCCTCCTGATGTGGTTTTCATCTGCCAGGGCCTGGTGAGCACAGCTGGGGCTGGGGACAGGAAAGCCCCAGTGGCTCTGAGGGTGAATTCCCAGCCATGGGAAGTTGGTTTTGATCATGCAGAGCCATTCTCCTTTCCTCCACATGAATGGGTGAAGGAGGAGCAGGAGCTGCTCTCACTGCCCCTCCCTGCCCAGGAGGAGCCTGGCTGATGAGCTGCTCTCCTGTCCAGTGCCCAGAAATCAGGATTTTGTTGTCACTGTTGCCTTTCCTGCTTGGTGCTGCTCCATGGAGCAGGACACCCCTGAGCTGTGGAGTCTTTGCTTTTTTCTGCCAGGGCCAGGATTAAATCACAAGAAGGTATTTCTTGTTGGGGCTCAGATCTTTATTAGTTCTTATCTCTGTCACAGTCTCACAAACTGTGAGTTCTGCAGCACTTCACTCTAACAAACTAAAAATGAAGCCCCATCTCTCTCTCTACAAGGCCTTTTAAGGATAAACTGTCCAATTAAAAAATGACACCTTAATTATTTTTACTTTTAACCCAATAACCAACCACTCATGCCTGCAATGTGGCCTTTTTATGCAATTACACAAAACCACCCAAACCCATGGAGACAAAGGTGAAGAAGAAGGAGCAGCCTCTGCCCTAAAACCTCCATCTTGCTTTATAAATATTGCTATATTCTAAACCCTTAAACTCTGAGTTTTCACCCTGTGATATCACACACTTCTGTTCAAACTCCACACCCACAATCCCAGTTCTGCCATTGCATTCTGGAAGCTTCTCCACAGCCTCAGGTCAGTGCAGTGTTCTCTGGGGGTCAGTGCCTGGCAGCACAGAAATCTGAAATTCTCAGTGACCAGGGTTCCAGCCCAGAGCCAGCATCTGGAGCTCCCCCATGAGCTGCTCCTCAGCCCTGTGTGCCAGGGGCCATCCATCACCAGCCCTGCAGGGCTCCTGTGCTGCCATTTGTGGAGTTCTGAAAGCCAAAACCTTTCCCATGGGGCTGGGACCTGTGAGCCCAGGGAGATTTGGAAGGGCAACAGTGGTAAAACTTGTGGGCTGAGGGAAAAGACAGTTTATTAAGTAAAGCAAAAGCTGCCCACAGAGGCAAAGAAAATAAAGAGTTAATTAACTTTTTCCCAAGGCAGACAGGTCTTCAGGCATCTCCTGGAAATCAGGGCTCCATCATCAAGCAGGGAGCCTAATGGTGGCTTGGGAAGACAAATGCCATCACTGCAAACACCTCCTTTTTCTCATTCTTCCCCCAGTTTGTATTGATGAACATGTTGTCATTTAGTATTAAATATCCATTTTGAGTTTTGGGATCAGCTGTCCCAGCTGTGTCCCCTCCCAGCTCCTTGTGCACCTCCAGAATCCATGATGGTGGGGTGGAGTGAGAAGCAGGAAAGCTGGTGACAGCAGAAGGTGCTGCTCTGGGGGCTGTTGGCATCTTCACCTGCATCCCAAACATTCAGCCAAGGCTCTGGGGAGGAGAAGGGAACAGAGCTGGCCTGTGTGTTTTGCATCCCAGCTTGAACTGCTCTATTCCTTCTTGGATCAGCCCTCAGTTCAAACCCTTCATGTCTGAAACCAAGAGGGAGGTAAAGATCTCAGATTCAGGAGTTTTCTGAAATCCAGACATAAGGAGCTTTATGATTTAATGTCTCTCCTTGGCCTGGAGCCCCGTGCTGGCTCCAGCCCATCCCACACCAGCATGGTGCTTCCCAGAAAGCAGCACAAGGGTGGATATTCATGTGGATTCACTCTGGAGCCATCCCTGAGTGCTCCCTCAGTGCTGCCAAGCTCTGAGCAGATGAATCCCAGCAGGCAGAGCCTCCTGGTGCCTCAGGAGAGGAGCATTCCCTGCACTGGGAATGCTCTCACTGGGCTGCTCGTGTCCTTGCAGGAGAAGCAGAAGCTGCTGGATGAGATTGAGGACCTCACTGTGCAGCTCACAGAGGAGCAGGAGAAAAAGAGGAAGATGGGGGACAAGCTGAGTCAGGAGAGGCACCAGTTCCAGAAGGAGAAGGAGTCAACACAGGAGGTGAGTGGGGTCTGGGCTTGCCACAGCCCTGTCCCCAGAGTGTGGGAATGTGGCCTTGGCAGCCTGTCCAGAATGGGTGCCTGGAGCAGGGAGTGCTGCCTGGGCAGTGGGGAGGGGTCCAGGAGCTGAGCTGAGCTGCAGCACCTCAGTCCTTGTGCTGCTCTGGGATTCACCCAGCCCTGTCCCTGCAGGGCTGTGCCCCCCTGGCCCCTCCCCTCCTGCCTGGAGGAGCAGTGGCACAGAGAGGGGTTAGAGCTGAGTGCCTGGGGCTGGGTCATACCCTGCCAGGGCTCCATCGTCTGTGCCTGCTGACTCTGAGCTGGGCACCCAGGCAGGGCTGGCTGTGGTGGCAGGAAAGGAGCTCTGGCCCAAGGGAATGAGTTGTCACCGTGGTGTCACTGAGGGCTCTGAGGTGAGGAAGGGACCCAAACTCAGCATCTTTGGCCCTCCAGCAAGGTCCTTGCAGGGCTGTGTTCATGTGTTTCAGTAGCTCCCCATCTCCTGCGTGCTGGGGGTGTGAGGGAGCAAGAGGAAACCAAGCTCCCCCCAGAAAGGAATTCAATCATGGAATGGTTTGGGTTGAGAAGGATCTCAAAGCTCACCTTGTTCCACCCCCTGCCATGGGCAGGGACAGCTCCCACTGTCCCAGATTGCCCCAAACTCCATCCAGCCTGGCCTTGGGCACTGCCAGGGATCCAGGGCCAGCCCCTGCTGTGGCAAACAATCCTGCTGCAGCAATCCATGAGCTGCTCCCACAGCAGCCACACCCAGAGGCTGCTGCTGGATCTGCCAGGCCTGTGGCACTCAGCTGTCCCCTTGCCTTGCCCTGCAGCTCATTGAGGACCTCAGGAAGCAGCTGGAGCACCTGCAGCTCTTCAAGCTGGAGGCCGAGCAGCGCCGGGGCCGCAGCAGCAGCATGGGGCTGCAGGAGTACAACAGCAGGACACGGGAGACTGAGCTGGAGCAGGAGATCAAGCAGCTCAAGCAGGTAAGGAGGGCTGGCCTGGCAGGGAAACGATTCCCGATGCCAAGGCAGGACCAGCAGGGCCCAAGGGCTCTCTCCCAAGAGAAGGAATGGATCCAGGAGCCCAGTGCTGTCTTGCTTTCCTGTCCTGGGAGAGGGAGGTTGGTGCTTTCTCAGGGACAACAGGAGCCCTTCTCTCTCTGCTGTGTCCCCTGGGTCTTCCCAGTGTTCCCATGCTTCCAGAGGTTCTCCAGGCTCTGCTGAGGTGGAGGCTGCAGCCCATGTGCTGTTCCCAGCCCTGTGTGAGCTGTGTTAGGGTAAAGTCCCCCTCTGCCTTTGCTGGTCTGGATCAGCTCTGAGCACCAGCTGCTCCAGCAGTGTGTGGTTTGTGTGTGTGAACAGGATAACAGGAACCTGAAGGAGCAGAACGATGAGCTCAATGGGCAGATCATCAACCTGAGCATCCAGGGAGCCAAGAACCTGTTCTCAGCCTCCTTCTCTGAGTCCCTGGCAGCCGAGATCAGCTCTGTCTCCAGAGATGAGGTATGTGCCATGAGGAGCTCACACTTCTCCTTGCTGGGTGCCTGCACCTGGCATGGCTGGGAGGAGGGGATGTGCCCTGTCTGTGGCCCAGCCCATGCTCAAAATCCCCCTGAAAGCTGGCAAGAGCAGAGAAATCCCCACACAATTACCTGCAGAGCTCTCAGGACTGACCCTGCCTGCCAGCCCTCCCTGCTGGGAGCAGGGGAGCTGCTCCCTGCCCACTGCTGAGTCTGGCAGCTCTGGGACAGCCACCACGGGCTGTGTCCCTCAGAACCCCTGGGAGCCAGCACATTCCCCCTGGACATCCCAGCTCCTCCAGCACATTTTCTCCCTGAACACCAGCCAGGGGTGGCTGAGCCTGCACAAACACTGGAATTAGATCTTTAACACCTCAGGAAGTGGGGAAACACACCTGGATATTTTGGGGATCCAATGGAGATGTGATGCTCCCTGCTCTCTGCAGGGCAGCTCTCTCCATCAGGCTGAGAGCTCACAAGAGGGAGCAGAACCAGTTTTTCCCTGGCCATTTAAACAAGGTCAGGAATGTCCCAGCCATGGATGCACAGCGCCCTGGGCAGTGCCAGGCAGTGAACTCTCCCTCCTCTCCCTCCTCTCCCTCCTCTCCCTCCTCTCCCTCCTCTCCCTGTGCTGCAGCTCATGGAAGCAATCCAGAAGCAGGAGGAGATCAACTTCCGCCTGCAGGATTACATCGACAGGATCATCGTGGCCATCATGGAGACCAACCCCTCCATCCTGGAGGTCAAGTAGTGCAGCCGGGAGGATTTGGTGCTCTGAGAGGATGAAGAGGGACTCCAAACGTCTTTGCACTTGATGAAGGCACAAGGAAGCCTCAGGTCGGGGAGTGACTGAGCCGCGGACCAGGGAAAAGGAAAAGCAGCAGGCAGGCTTTGTTGTCTGACTGCGTTATTTTGAAGCCCTCCTGGCTGTGGAGGGGTGAAAGGGAACCTGGAGAAGGAGCTCAGGAAAGGGACACGGCAGGAAGTGCCTGTGGCGCTGGGGACTGTCCCGACAGGCACCGCCCCTCCGAGGGACACGGCGATGGAAGCGGCAGCGCTGACTTTGCCCCGCTGTGCCAAAGTGTCCCTGACACACCCACCGGGCAGAGCCAGGGTAGCGCCTCCCGGACTCGCACAGGGTTGGGGTTTGCTTTTGGTTTGGGGTTTTGGTTTATTTTTTAATTAACTTAATGCAAATGGCCTCATCCAGCTGGCTCAGCCCATCCTTGCCCCGTGCTCGGGCTGCGTGCAGAGCCCGCGGGGCAGCCCGGGGCTCTCGGGGACAGGGCGTGAGCACACTCG